CACAGCATGTTCAAAGTTTGCTGTTTTTGACCGGTGAGAAACAACTTGGGTGTCTATGATTGTGTTGTGTAAATACTTGGACAAAGATGAGGACCCTAAGATGCTGACAAAACCGAGGCAAAAGATTAAACAAACCTTTATTAACAAAGTCCAAACCGTAAATGTTCAAGACAGAGAACAAGAAAGGAAACCCTGGAAGGGGATCACGCAGGGAGAGGAGCAATGAACCGAAAGGAGAGATGGGAAGCTGTGGAACTAACAGACTACTCAAAGACAAGATACCGGTGAAACTAACCAGTGTCATCAAAAAGGAGGGAAAACACAGGACAGCAAACTAGACTCACACTCGGGAAAGGACGAATAAAAAATAAACAACAACCAGATATAAATAAGAATCAAGTATAAGTAAGTAAATGAAACTTTTGAGCTACAGACAGTTTAAGTACACAAAAGGTACCAAAATACAATCCTGAGTAAGTGAATCTGTGCTTGATATTACTTTTGAATTGTTTAATCACCTCTTCTGTTACTGTTCCCTGCTTCCTGTTCTCATCTGATATTTTTCAAAAAAGGTTAGAATGAGACAGGTGATAGTTTTGTGTTGGGGGAAAGTCTCCCACAGTGGCTGGAGGTAGCTCTCTGTATTAGGAATTAGGTGTCAGCCCTGGGTTGTCTGGCTTCTACAGGGTGTGTGTGTGTGTGTATACGTGTTTATGTGCACGTGTGTAGAGGCGGACGGGTTAGATGGACCGGTGATGTGAAAGAGTTCTTAATCATCCCCCCCAGACAGTCTTTGGTCCTCTTGTCAAGTGGTTCCTATCATCATGACATTTAAAATATTCATTAATTATCTCGCTGACTTGATGAGCTTTTCTCTGATGCTCACACACACTGACACACTCACTCACACACACACACACACACACACACACACACACACACACACAAGCTACGCTGTGAAATAAATAAATAACGTGGATGAGATGTGTCATTCCCCATTGTCTTGCATCATTTTGAAGGAGCGGTTGTTAGATACTTTATGGCCTATTGTGAGACTGTAGCCATTATGCTGGAGCTCTGTGAGAATTATGGGGCCATCACTAATGTAAATGTGGTTCTCCAGCCCCACTCATCCTCATATCTCTCTGCTGTCTCTGTGCGAGGCTCAGCTGTGCTTAGAGTGGTCTTTATTTTGGAGATGAGGCAGCTTTGGTGACCTGTCATCCTGTCAGGTTAGGTATTTTCTGTCTAAACAAATATGTTGTGGCTGTAACAGGAACTCCCATTATGGTGGTATACCGTCTGTGTGGACAATGTGCTTTATTCTGTGCTGATGTGGTTGTAGGAGAGCGCTCGACATGTTAATATTCAGAGTCTTTTTTACATAATCTATTAGAATACTCAAAGTTAAGTTGAAATTGTTCCGATAGACAAATTTGCTTGCAGGAAATCCAATCTTTTACTGTTTCCCCAAGCAGAGACTTATACAGAAACTGTGGTAAGCCTAACAGGGAAAAAAGCAAGGGCCTGTGTCCGTTAAAGAGATATTATGGCCTAAGTCAAACACACCATAACACTGAGGTCGACACCTCCTCGAGAGATGAATTTTGCTGACTGCTTGCTTCTCTAGTTCCATCAAATTCAGCAAAGACCGCACGATAGCAATACACAGCGGTCTATGTCTCCACACGCAAACCTCATCCAAAAAGCCACTTGTAGTCACAAATAATGCACTTCATCAGCGGTACCTATAGGGTCCTAGCACGTAGTACTAGCATTCAACCATCTTTTTAGCTTTGCCTGGTTTCTTTGGCAAAGAGACTAAACACAACTCACCCACTCTCTTTCAGCGGCCGCTTGTTTGTGGGGGAGCCCTGATGAGTCGATCACTGAGTGCAGCGGAGTTTCGCAGCTCAAGGAAGAAAATTTATGATTATAACTTAATGGAACTGCAATCAGACTGAGATGCTGTGGCAGAAGAACTGCAATCTGCAGTGCACATACAAGATACACAAGAACTCTGATTGCATTTCCATGAGGGTAACAATCATGAATCCATAGACCGCTGTGTATTGCTGTCGTGCGGTCATTACTAAAGTTGGTATGACTACAGAAGCAAGCAGTCGGCAACATTAATCTCTCGGGGGGGTCTGACTTGGTGTTATCGTGTGTTTGACCATGGCATAAACTTATGCCCGAATATCCCTTTAACCGTGTACTTTTTTGTTCGAGCAACATCCATTTCCAGTAGAGTATGGTAAGCACCAAATGATAGAACAAACATGATGCCCAAGCTTGCGATTGAATCGAATTTGACATCTTTACAAAGAAGGATCCCTGCAAAGATAAACCAGTATTTTTGGGAGGGCTGTAAGAAAGGTAGTTGAAGTTGGAGAACTCAGAGTTGTCAAACATGCACTGAGAAGACTACTTACTTTCATGAGGGACTTGAAGTCAACAGAATTCTAGGACCTTTCTGAATGAGATCATACCAGCAGATCACATGCAGCTGCAGCCAATCTCACATGCAACATGATCTAAACTCACAGTTTTTCAGTGACTGATACATTTCAGACCCATTTAGCTGATTGGTAGTACTACAGGCAGAGGGGCATGTATTTGTAACACCCCCGAACAGAGCAAAAGTCAATGGGCTTTCTGAGGGCAAAGTAAAACACTGACAATTTTCTGAAATAGAACATACGTAACAATAGATCCATAACCCCACTTTAAGGAAACTAAACTATCTCTTCAACTAGATGATCTGCCATTGCTCTTTGCCCCTTGAATCTCATAACCTGCAGCACTTGATAGACTCTGCAGGTGATCAGAGAGAGAGACAGGTCCTTCAGTTCGTCCCTCCTGTTAAGGCACTGATTGAAGTGCAGCATTTCTGAACTGTTGTGAAAACACTTACAGAATTACTAAATAGGAATACTAACCTTATACAAGATTTAGTAAATGGCATAACGTATCATCCTCTTCATCCTCATGGAATCAGCAGCCATGTGGTCACTGACATTATAGAAATACTGTCAACTTTGTCCCACCAGAGCAGTATGAGTGGAATCCAGTCCACAGAGCCACCCAGTTCACAGAGACCAAGACTAAAAATAGACGGGGATAGATTTCCTCTTGGGGGATGACAACCCATTTGTTTTCATTTTGCTGATGGTCATTGCCCCACGCTCCACCCCACGTCCAGATCACACACTCCGCCTCCCCCTGCTCCAGGCCACACATCTCCTCCACCTTACCCAGCGTACACTTCTATTACACCGTAATAACAGCGGTGAAGGGGAGGTGGCTGGAAGAGCAGTGACCTACTAAGAATCAGACGCTGGATCCATCTTTGATTTATGAGCATACCTCTTTATAAGTAGTCATCATGGCACATTGGAAACCTGATCAGACCTGCAAGAGGAGAGACACTGAGTATACTTCCTGTTACCTATCTGCAAAATAGTTTGTGTTCATAAACTGACAAAAAAGGAAAACTTACACCAGGTTTGAATCATGAGTGACAACACTGAGTCAAATTGACTGCTTGAAGAGATATCGTGTTTTTTTTTTTTCTTGTGGAGTCTTTATTGTAGTTTTTCTTCCTCTCAGACTAACCAACAAGATCCCTGCAAATTTTGACAAAGGACCTATAAAGCTGTTTCAGGAGTATGACACTGTTTATCTGAGCCTTTGAAAACTGATATAAATGACCTTTACACGAATGATATATCAGACTTATTTTGATATTTCACCACCAGGGTTAAGGTTTGGTTCTGTTGGAGAAAAAATATTGAAGTTTGGATTAAAACAAACAAACGCTTTATGAAGGCAACATGAAACATTTTCAACATGGTCTGAATAAGAAACAGTTTAGCCTTTAGATTCTACATAGCTGAGCTTTAATTCTTGGGTATTTGTTTTTAGTTGGCATCACACTGTTGACTTTAGGCTTCTGCGAGGAACTTTCAGTCTGTGCTGATCCCCCCCCCCCCCCCTTTGGACAAAGCGGTAACCCTTTTATTAAAAATGTCTCACCTACTGTTAATCTACCCCCTCAAAGCAGTAACACCGATCAAAAACTACATCATAGAAGTTGTCAGTCTTGTTCTTGATGATGGTCTTTGTACTTTTGAACTTCAAAGAGATAAAAACTACTCACTAGAGCTTTAAGTTCATACAGCTGTTTAAAGATTAAACCAGGTTGAATGATCATTTAAATGCAAATCTTTGCTGCACTATGCTTATATTGTCTAATGTAGCCACACTTTGCTGACCAAATTTAACGGAAGCACATCAGCTCAAATGAAAGTTCAGTTCTGACATTGAGGCAACTCATCTACCAACAAGCCGGTCACCGTATGAGAAGTGAGTAACAGTGAGAATTAAAAATAAAAAGAATACTTATCCTGACGTCATGCTGCGATGTTTTATTTATCTTAAAATCCTTTATTAATCGTCTGCGCTGTTTATTTTGCAGGGCAGTTTCAGCAGAGAGAGAAATTGCCTGGTTAAAAATTGATAAGAGCTGTGACTTTGAGTAGGCGGGCTGGATCTCATTGTTTGTGTGTCTTTGCATCAGTGTGTGTGTTTGGCCCTTTATATGCCCTAAGTGTTTATTTGGGAATCGTTGAACTTTTTCAGGTCACGTGGTATGTGGGCAGTTTTCTATCTACACTGTGATATATGAAACCTCTTCCCTGTTGGCAACAATGAAAACACATTTGTTTGTTTCTCTTAATTTGCTTCAGTTTGAAAGTCTGGTTGAAAAGACTGATTGCTATTAATTATTGTTTTGTCATCAAAATATTGTTATTGAAATATCTAGTTGACTTATGCATTAAAATCCTCATAGTGTGGACTTATGTCAAGAGTTTACTTTTTGTACTCACACAACCATGAATGTATGCGCCAGGATGCGGTATAGCCCCTGGTACAAATTAATGCTGCAGCATTTACAAAGCAGACAAACCCTGTGAATGCACCTTGGTCCAAAACATACCCTGCACTTACATTTTGGGATTAGCATTGAAGCAAAGTTATTCAAACACGATAACTTGCGTGTATACTGAGTAAACTGCTTTGAAGCATCGCCCCTTTAAAAAGTTAAGGCCTTTCACTGTAAAAACTCAAATCTCACCATGATAGTGTCTAATTTTCCAGTCAATACATACAATATAAGCCAGATGTGCCTGAAAGGTTAGATGGAATCATATCACAAGCAAAACATTAATACCCAAATTGCTCACACATATTAAATACTGTATGGCTAACAGTCTAGCAGGCAAAATGTCTCATACTAGAGTCCTGAAGTGAGCATTGTATCATAGATGACAAAAAAGTTGGACAGTACGATTGGAAATTTTTCATGTGAACTCTCCTATCTATGTTGTTTTGCTTGTTATTGATTTTTTTTCCCCATCATGCAGCTACAGAGTGTGATTTTCATAAAACTACTATACTGTCTACACTACACTACATTTTCATTTTCTATGTTTGCTTTTTGCTTTTGTATTCTTGTGCAGAACAAATAATCCAAATCAACACTATTTGTGGGCGCAGTGACCGGCAGAGACCGCAATAATCAGAGCAAAAATATTTCATTCAAACATATTTTGCCACCTTTTAAAGTCAACATGGCCATTGCAACATTTAACAGTTCCACCACTAAACTTTGTGCTTCTGTACTCTGAGTTTGCACAACAGCGTCTCTGTGTGCATGTGGGTGTATGCGTCTAATGTGAATGTTTTGAGTTTGACTGATGGTGTGGCGGTGGTCAGAGCAGCATGGATCCAGAGTAGCAGCTGACAGGGTTCTCCTGCAGGGCTGTGCAGGGTATCGATCGCATGAGTCTGGCCAGGTGTCTGCCTGGAGAGAAGGAGAGAGAACAAGATCAGCCATGCAGACAGAAGGAGAGAGGATTGAGGGAGGAAAAGGAGGAGAGAGGGAGGACATGGCCGGCTGGGTTGACCTTAATGGAGGATGGTTGTAAAGGTGCGCATCTCATGGGACAGCGGTTGAAATGAGGGACCTGCAGAGGCAAACCTGCAGGCTAACCTTCGTTTATAAGAACATGAGTTTTAAGAAGCATCTGTATGAATGCAATCATAAATAAAAGATAACTAAATATGTGTTTATGACATATCTGATCAAAATATTTTTGTGAGTGAACCATTCCCTGCAGCGATATTACACTGGGAAAAACTCAGTCAGAAAAAAAAATCCAGAACAAAGTGATAATTCAAGATATTACACACCAAAAATAAGATCTGAATTGATTATAATGAGTAAAAAAAATGCAGATCAAAATAATTTTTTCATCAAGTTTCCTGAAATAGAAAAATGTCTTAATTGAATAACATAGAAAAGTCATCTTTAATCTTCCACAGATACAAATAAGCTATTTGTGATGGAAAATATTCAAGCTTTTCAGGGAAATGTGGCTTAAAAACAGCCTTTGTTGTCTTATTTCCCATTTATATGAGAAATAAGACAACAAAACTTGCTAAGATTTGAGTTTTTGCAGTGCATTGATTCCTTCTATGCTGGCCCCTATAAAAAAAGTGAAATATTTCCCCTTTCAAATACATTTGGTACCAAATAATGTTGCCAGTGACGGGGCCATAAGGGTGGTGAAAGGTTGTCTTATTTCTATTTTTACTTTTAACAGGCTGCTTCTTGTTTTTTCCTATTTTAATATGAAAAAAATGGAAAATGTTGACTTTATGAGGATTGAGTTTAGCAGATTAATGTAGTGCCACTCTGACGAGTTACCTTTCACAGTAAACAGTGATATTTATATGAGACACCAAATTTGACATGATTAGCATTGATCGTCTTCCAGGGTTTGGAGAGAGTCTCTGATGTCTACCACATTTGGCTGCCCCAAAAATGGAACACTGGCCCCACCACTGAGTTTTGTGTTCGGTTGCATGGCATCACCAGAGGGCGTACACACCTGAATCAATGTCCCTCCTTCTTTATGAACTATGTATGGATGACTTCTCCTGCTTCCTCAAGCTTTTGGAGGCTCAGCAGTGCCCAGTTTGTGACCCTCTAAGATCTCACTAATGAGACCAAGGGTGGTGCATGATGTACATCTGTCCTCTGCCCCAATATTTCAGCATTAACAGATCTGTAAATCAGTGAGTTTATGAATGACGAATCTAAATATTCACTTTATCTATGATATAGCTCATGTGAAAGTATTATGAAGCCTGCTTTCGCTCAATGTTATTAATTCCATCATGTTTATATGAGGCACGAACTAGTTTCCATAAATTAGAGTGTGCCAGGTTCAGCAAATATTTATTCTTTTGTGAAAATTTGCTTCGTCATCGCCTTAATTCACTCAGATTGACCAGTGAAAACCTTCATCGCCTCTCCCACCCAAGGACAAATCCCTTTATCTCCTCTCTCTCCTTTCTTCCAAACATCACAGCTGAGCAGGATTTATGTTGTGTGCTCGTCGGCTGCTCTGTTTTTTATGTGAGTGGTGTAAACCCTTAACAGGCTAATGCATTAACAATATCCTCTTTTAAAAATCCTAACCTACCTCCTCCCTCCTCACCCTGCAAACAGCTTAAGCAGCCAGACACCTCTTTCCCAGACATCATTTTAGGAAAGTAATTGCGACCCTTACTCCATCACTAACATCCCCGCCTCCTTCTCTTCTGTTGCACACATGCTTTTGATGCCCCCCACTCTGCCTCTGGTAGTTAAGGGTAAGGGCTTAAAGGTGTCTTATCTCAAATTCATCATGGCTCCGACTGCTCCTGGGTCACTGCTGGACAGCCGTCACCCTCTGAGGGGGCTGTCATTGTTGGTGGTAGATAGGAGGGTAACACAAAGCACAGTCCATATGGTACACCTTTTCTAGGACTATGGAGAGAGAGGCCCCATTTATGGACAAAAATATGAGGAAACCCTTCTTTATCTGTATGTCTGCAAGGCTGGGTTAACAAGCAAGGGAGGACAGTCATGGCCTGACATCCACAGGGTGTCAAAGGGCTTTAGTTTGGGGCAATTGGCTGGTTGTATTTCAAAGAAGTAACAGCTTACCCCAAAGTAAATGGGTTTGGATAAACATTTTCCTCTGCAGAAGAGCATTATAGTTAAACATAAAGGCTCTGGTAACCGAATATGAAGCAGCAGTGATGGTTTTTGGAGATATGTTAACAATTTTAAGGTTATTTCACTTCTGATGGTTTGTTCTGCTCAGAAGTGGGGTACTCAGTTGTTGGCACCCCATATATGGAGGTTACATTGGTTCCCAGGTGCCGGCAGAATCTGGGGTATGTCATTCCCCTCACCTTTCTTGCATTTCCAGTTGCTCTCTGTATTTGTCTTGCCTGATAAAGACAAAAAGCCACCACAAAAACAACAGCATGCATTTATGAACCTACAAACCACATAGGCATAAGCATTTGTTTTTCATTGGATAAGGGTTATATGCCTTTAGTTTGGCTTTTGGGGGGCAAAATGTGACCTAAATCAACAAGAGTGTTTAGTCAGAGTTAGATTAGGGGTTATCGTGATTTGGCAAAAGAAGAACAAAATGACACGAACTAACTCAACTTTGAAAAGGTAGTAAACAAGTTTCAAAAAGGTCCAGATTTCTAAAAATGTTTAACAAAAATGACTGAAGCAGCAAAATCATTTACCAAGCAAGCAGTTTCCCTGATATTATTCCTCTGGTTATAAGTGTCACATTCATCAGTGTGTGCAGAATCAGCACCAAATGTCAGCTGACACACCCCCAGCACTCCGACCACACAGTGAGGGCAAATCCCCCCGATTAGATTTGTAAATCAAAAACCAATACATACAACATGCAGGAATTAATTTGTTTTATATTCCTTGGTTACATTTTTCGTGAAGCACATTTGGAAGATTTAGAATGTATTTGTGCCTGCTGCTCCCCACTATTATATGCTTCAATTCATACATCTATTTGTGAGCCCATAAAACAGGCATTGACTACCCATGTAAATTGTGTTCCCCACAATAAATTATATGCATACTTGCAAAAATACATAACTGCTGTCGGTCTCCGCGCTCCATGTCACCGGCATACTAATAGCGCCATGCTAGGAGGCCAATGATGCCACTTCCATTATTTTTCCATTTAGCCGTAATTTTGCGGAGGAAGTTGGAGTTGGTGAAATTGCCTCCGTCTGTCTGCCCCCCCTTTTATTCCTACCATCCCTGCTCCTTGTCTCTCAGACTGGGCTCTGTATCTCCTACTCTGTTTTTTCCTCCCCTCTCATTCAGCTTGTGAGGCACGTGGGGGTTGTTTTCATCCTGGTGAGTGGATAGAAAACGCCAGTGACCTGTACACGCCTTCGGTTCAGTGGGCGATTTTGTCTCAAGCTGCTGAGGCTACAAGCTCAAGGGTTAAAGGTCAAGTTATCCCACAGTGAAATGGACACCATGGGAAAGTAATGCAGCCAAAATCTGCTCTGTATGCCTGGCTGACACCAAGTAGATGACTGTATCATGAACCCTTTATCACTCCAGTCCAACAGAATTGCACATTAGTTTTCTGCAGCAGAATACAGATTTGATCTCTAAATAATATGTCTGTTTTTTTCTGGTGGGTAAATACCCAGAATGCTAAAGAAAATATTTCTTGGAGCTTATAACTTACAGTCAGTTACGAAGCAAAATGCTGCAACTTAAGACATTTGCGTGGGTATAATGATGCGTGGGTAACATTTAGGGGGCATGGCTTCATTTTGTGATTAAAGCCACTAACCCTCATATATGGGCCAGAGATTCACTGTCTGAGTTGGATTCAAAAAGATCAATTGATTGATTTTATTTGACTATCAAAAAATATTTCCATATCTCTACAAAGGCGCTTTTCAGTAGATGTTCAAAACAAGAAGAAATTAAATAAAAAAGAGTAGGTAAAAATCTATCTTTAGATTAATGTTGTCGTGCTAATAGTCTGTATTAAAGGAGGTAAGAATCAATCTGGTTTTCTCGCACATTTCAAACAGCAGCTATGATCCTCCTCACTGCATCAGCTTCAATTTGAAAACCCAGTTCAAGAGTCAACCGCTGAGAACAACAGTTTTTCTTCACAGAGACAATTGGCTTTGTCTTCATGGCAGAGTTGGTTATCACTTAGTTGGAAGGTTTGGGGTTTGATTCCCTTTCTGAGTGTACACATGTCCAAAAGGTTCTTGGGCAAGAAACTGAATCCTAAAATGACACAACTGGCTGCGTCCAGCTGTGCGTGAGTGGGGTTAGTATATACCGATGGACGCTTTACTTCGCAGCTTCTTACATCAGCGTGTGAGTGTGCTGTGAATGGCAAAATAACACATGTAAATACTAAACATGGGTCGAGTCCATTTACCATAAACACTTTGTAGAAAGTGAGTAACAGCTGATTCCTGCCTTTACATTTAAAAGATTGAATCATGTTGATCCTCAAAGCAAAGGAAAACATTGACTATGTCATGACAGTAGCTGAAGGCAAAACAAAGTGTAACTGGAGTGGTATACTTATCATCAGTACAGGGTTGGAGTTTTAGATCTTGTATGGTTGTTGGTGCCAGAATAGAAGGAGCAATGTATCATCTGCAAAAACAAAGACAACCCTGACTCAATACAGTAACATTGAAGAGCTGGGAAGAAATACAGTACTTGCATGAGCAGTGCACGCTTCTTATAGCCCGTATTTCTTGTCCTCTTCGCTTAGTCTTGGCTTAACCCATATGCTTGTCTATTCTGTCAGCGAAGTGTAAATATTGGACTGTTTCACCTTTGGAAGTCCTGTCTAACCATCCGTGTAAGCTAAAAACAACTTGTTAGCGACTGCTAGTTAACTTGTCCAGGTGATTGTTTTGTCTCCCATTAAGGCCCACCCACCAAAAAAACAGCAGACTGTTTATTCACACCAAAAAGCTCCATACTTACCAAAAGTCTGGTGTGTGTGTGTGTGTGTGTGTGTGTGTGTGTGTGTGTGTGTGTGTGTGTGTGTGTGTGTGTGTGTGTGTGTGTGTGTTAGAGAGCGTATGAGTCTTGATTGTGGCAGTCTGGTCTGTGAGGAGGGTGCACATACAGGGACTCGGGGCTGAAGGTCACCAGAGCTGCTGAGCTGAGCACACATACACACATGGAGTAAACACACAAACACACTCACTTCCAGCTCTGTTGACTCTCTCACACACGCACACACTCGCAGACACACACAGAATATACAGAGCTTTCACACAGCTCTTACGGTTGCGGAAAACCAATAAAATTGCAAATTTCCCCTCATATTTTCACAATATCCTAAATAAACAGCAGCCAGGCTTTGCTCATCTCTCTCTCTCTCTCTCTCTCTCTCTCTCTCTCTCTCTCTCTCTCTCTCTCTCTCTCTCTCTTTCATTAAATATTAATCTGTACGTGGCTGGGATGACTCCAATCAGGGGAGTCGACATATAGGGAGACGATGGCTGCCCCTCTCTGGGTAAACATTGAGGAGATTGTCACCCCACCACTCCCACCCCACTGCGACCCCAAACCATCCACATACATGCATACCCATCTGCACACAAACACACATCCACACTCAAACACTAGCTGCACCATCACCACCATCTATCTCATATGGTGATACACAAAATAAACAAATTTATGCAGTCTGTTCTGAATCGTCTTGAAATATCACCATCAGAAAAAAAAAGATTACACGTAAACATTAGTGGAACTGATCAATTCAACAAATTATGACTTAAAAACATCAGCATATCACATGGGACACCATCCAGAGACAGTCAAATCATATCAGGCACATCTTCGACCCACACAGTGCTCTCACAGTTTGATTTGTCAACTTGAAGAAAACTTCCATGAGTCCGGGTTGAATTGCTGTAGCTACCATGGAGCAGTTCATTCATAATACATCCAGTGGGTTCCCTGTTTATTAAATTAAACCATAAATTGGATTCACTGAAGTCAAGGTATTATGTTTATTTCCCTGCTGAAACATGTAAAGGAAATAAAAGGAAGACCGCAGTTCTGTAGGTGTCCACTGGAGGCTGTCTCTAAGGCCAAGAAGATCTTTGTTTTGACTTGCTAATTTTGTATATTCACCTAGAAAAATTGAAAATTATGAAAGTTAATGAAGCTATATCAATTCTTTCAGTTCTTTGAATTGTTTTGGGGCTTTTCTTGCTTGTTGGTTCTTATACTTTGGTCTTATACTTGTGATTAATTGTTGAAGCTGTAGTGGGAGTTGGATGTATACTGGGGTGCATTATATTGATAGGTGTTCCTAATACTTTGCCCCCCTCAGGTTTGTTAATGTAGTGGGCAAAATATAAGGGGCAGCTTTCAATATAACACATTCCAGTACATCCTGACCACCCACTCTGTCTTAAAGTAATATAAAGAGAAGTTATCACCGTTCTGTCCATGTCGACAGAAACTCAAGATTCAGAAGCTTCATGAAAGTAGAATTTGAGGCAGGGCTGCTGGATTCGATTGCCCAGGTGTTCATAATGTTATGGCTGGTCGATGTATGTATATGTACTATTTATAAAGACAAGCAAAGAACTGAACAGTTGTACAATGTTATTGGCATGATGTCAGCAGAGAATAGCTAAAAAAAACTCACTGATACATCGTGGCAGATTTGAACATTTCTGCAGATGTAATTGCTGGCTGAAAAGGTGATGCATTGATTATGTGCATGTGGTGACAGCTGTTATGTCTATATTTGAAAATAAGAGATTTTTTTATCCATGGTTGAATCAAGTTTTGTTTGTCTTGTTTTAGACTGTCACTACAAGAGTAACAGGTGCAATGTGCTGCAAGAAAAACTTGTCATTCTTTACAATCATATTTTATTAGTACTAATATTAGTATCAGCTAAAATGATGATAAAAGTATGAGCATACATGATATCGGCAAACATCCAATCTAGTGCATCCTTAATTTTCAGTGTACAACACCTTCTGTGAAGATTCTGACTTAAGAAAACTACAATTTGTAAAGGGTGTAGGATGAAGTGAAGCACTTATTCATTCCTTTTTCATTTTGAATTTAATTCTTTAAATCCATTAAGTGCAGGTCAGGACACTCAGAATAACACCAGAGAATATAGATGTCCAAAATAATACACAGTGCGTATTAAAGCCTTTAAAATATCAATTAACTTGTGCATTGATAATCCTGCCTTTAGCCTGGTGCCATTTTTGATTCCACGAAGACTCACAGTTTATAAGAACGAGTGACGTCACTGAAACATCCATGTTTTAGACACTCTATGGCATCTGCTCAGCCTTCGATTAAAGGCATAAAGAAGGTCTCATTCTGATTCAAAAAGCTTCCATTATACGTATTGTATTTAACAGTATTACCTGTTTTTTATAGAATATGATACAGTGAGGAGGAAAATCTGTTAAAACTGTAAATCACAAATCAATCCCTTGTATTACACCACTTATGAGAGTCAATTTTCTAGCACAGCAGAGGCTTTACCCTCAGAGAGATGGCAACAAAGCATTTTTGTAAAATGTGGAGTTTAAAGACAGTAACATAAAAATGTCATTTCTTCAAGTATTTTCATTGAGTTCTAGAAAATGTCAGATCCTTGGTTTTGTTTGTGTTGATCATGTGGATCTTTTAGAATAGAAGAAAGGAAACACACCAGCAGGGAGTTAAATTGATAATTTATCGTGAATCTTTTTAAGAAAAATATAAAATTAGGGCTGTTTCTGCAGCTGCTTGTCCAGCACGTACCCTCTAAAAGATTTACAATAAACTATAAAAATCTTCACTCTCAACACTGATGGTCCTGTTTGCTTTTGAGTATCATAAAAAGACATCAATATGAATTTCAGTCTATTTTGTAAAGGCTAAAAAACTTCTCACAGGAGCTTTAAATGTGAGTTAAATCATTTAAAAATCTTTACAATTTACAGCACAAAAAGCTGCACTAATGCATGTAGAGACACATGAACACAACAGCATTTTTGACCACTCATAAACACTGAATGTCTTACACACATACACACACACATATGCACATACACAAATGCACACACACGCACATACACACTAGATAAGTTTTCCATCAGCTGCTCCCTTCTCCCTTTCTCCTCTCACTCCCTCCCTCTTCTCCTCCTCAGTGCAGATGGACTCCACGCTGCTGCGACCCCACAAGGGGCAGCAGAGGAACACGATACAACACCTGCAGCTCCTAAACCACAGTGAACAGGTGGAGCAGATTTTCTTTGTCTTAAACATTAGACCAGAGAAAGACAAAAAAGAGAGGAACAGTGACAGGTATGCCAAAAAGTGTGCAAAACAAACATGCATCAGGCAAGACAAAAGATGAAAGATAAAGAAAAAGACAAATGCACATATTTGATTGAACAGAAATAAACAAGAAAATGACTTAATACAAACAAATCAACAAGGAAAGAGAACAAATAGAAATCAATGTATGAGAGAGCTGAAAGGAAGAGCAAACAAATCAGAGAAAAAAAGAGAGACAAAGCTGAGATTGGACCACGAGAAAAACAAATACTGGAGAAGTAAGACAAACAAAAAGACGAGAAAAATACAGAATTATCATGGAACAGCTTGGAAACTCTCAGAAAGTCTTTTTTTAAATGGAGCTAGAGAGTATAAATAAGAACAATGATGAAATTTGGATGAAACCAGCTTCTCCAAAACACTTTTACATGTCAGCGGACATGTTAAAGCCCCACAGTCACACCTGTGTTATCAGTTGCTGGCTGCTACCTGTGGACCCCTTTCACAGTGGGCACACAGGAAACACACACACACACACACACACACACACACACATGTAGACACACAGAGATCACGGTGAGTGTGTAGAAGGTGGTTGCATGCCTCAGACACAGAGAGAGAAAGAGAGAGAGAGAGAGAGAGAGAGAGAGAGAGAGAGAGAGAATGTGAGGCTAATCACAGCAGCAGAAAAGCAGAATTGAGCACAGATCACACACGGGATTAGCAAAAACCAGACTGAAATTCCCACTAATGTCTAATTTAAGAAACAAACAAACAAAAAAAACATCAAAAACAAAATTACCTTTTAAAAATGTAGTTATTGTAGACATAGTTTGATAAGGCTATATTTTTTTTCAAGAAAGGAAAAACAAGACTTGAGGAGAGGTGACTTCATTCACTAAATACCTGTCCAAGTAAAAGATTTCAAAATAAAAGCATCATATTGTAACAAGTGGTGTCTCTCTAGAGAAGTACTAGATAGAACTTTTGTTTTGAAAAGGATACAGACGATGTAATGAATGTACTGACCTCATGCCTATAACTTAAAACTACTGTAACCATCACCGCCCAACCCCTTTACAATCCCAGCACAGCAGTTGTACAGAGATGCCAGAGTGGTACTCTGTGGTCTCACCATAGAGATGTTAGACAGAACTTTTATTTTTTAAATTATGCAGAAAATTTCTGAGTGCTGGATTTTTTTAATGCCAGTTACAGAATAACTGTTGACACAAAGCCAGTTTTCATTGATTTTGGCTGTATAGGTCTTGGGATAGAGACTAACTTTAGTGTCTGACCCTTAAAATCGTTCCACAGCTGTGGCACCATGCACATGCAGGCATCATGCAGTGTCTTTTCTGTCATGTCATTAGTTTCATTTGTACATCTGTATAATCCCAATCCTATCAAATGTTCATCATTACATCTGTTTTTAATGGTTTTTACCTAGAATGGAATGAAACTGATATTATTAAACACTTCCTCTAACAAAGTCCATCTTGACATGATGCAAGAGTTTCTTCTAAAAAGAGACCAAACTAGTCTTAGTGAGAGGATGAAAAACAGACTCCAGGTTTTTTGGTGACTCAGTTTTGACCAAGATAAAGATGAAGTAATTGTAGCAAGTCACAGGACAGGCATATTTAAAATAAAATGAAATAAAATAAAATAGAATAAACAGGCTTCAAGTCTTTCTTGACTTAAACAAGTTTTCATCCTGTCATCAAATCTCTGAAAGATTGGCATCATAAGATCTACATTAATGTCTTGAATTGTCTTCCATGCTCATCAGGCCCAGAAACCACAAGGTAATTTCGGGTGTGGTGCACATGCGCAAAACAAAAGAACAATTTAGTCAAATATCTCATCCCTGGACAAATAAATCTGCATTTCCATCCTAACAAAAAAACACCCTTGTCTCAGTAAATATAATCTGACTTTCTTAGCCTCTCTGCAGCTCATTTTAATCTTTTGCATAAAGGGAAAAGATAAATCAGCTACACTTGGATACAAATATTGTGCTTGTTAGAGATCTGCAAATGGAAAAATTACCGTCAATAAAAAGAATTACATGACGTCTCCAGACACATACTTTAAATACAAACAAGGTTTGATATGTTTAAATGAAATGCAGATTGATGCTGTGTGCGGATGAATTCTTTATTTGAATATTTCTCTCTCAGACATGAGATTTTTGCTCTTTTTCACAATAATTCTTCTTAACTCTAAATGTTTATTCTTCTTTATGTTTAAAGGACACTAAAAGCTGAAAAACACCCTCAAATCCAGTTATGGCTTTACCACCTCTTTACAATCTTGAGCTCTGTACAGATGTGCAGCAGAGCGAGGGGCCTCTGTGAATAGTTTACCAAGTACTCTTCTTCAAAGCTGTGAACAGGAAATGCCAGGAGTGCAGTGGTGAGCTGCATCTTCTGCCAAAGCTTAGTTAAAGATCCTTCATGTGGTGAAGTCACAGAAAACTAAAGAAAATGTGGACACAGATCCATAATTCTCCCCCACCCTGCTCAATGAGTTACAGTGAGACTTAACAGCCTAAATCTCAGCCTTCTGAAGCCTTTTAAATGTTCGGTGGGAAGACTCTTAATTAAGTGTGAGATGTCTTTATTTGACCAAAAACAGCTGATAAAGTCTTTTCTTTCAACTCTCTAAACCACACTGAAAAAACAGGAACTATAGCAGCAAAACCAGGAAGTTCCTGATCTACTTGAGCTTAGTTCTGATTGTGTTATTGTAATCACGCAACAATGATTTGGATCAGCACACAAAATTAAAAACAGAAAACTTACATATTATCAAACCCAAATATCCAGTCCAGGTAGTGGTAGACCAGCCCTCATCTTCTGCAGTGTGAAATTACTGTTTTTCTCAATAGGGTTCGGTGACTTCCAAAGAGAAACAGCTGTTACCAAGGCACCTTTCTGTTGTACAAAATGATCTACTTCTTTGGAGATCCTTTCTGTAATATTGCCAGACACAAAGAGAAACACGTTAAGACTGATAGTTACAAATACAGGGACTTTCAGTCACAAATTGTGTTTTTACCAGAGCTTTCGCTATAGACCTGTGTCACCCATTTTATAGAGAGATAAGATATTGACATAGTGCTAAGAATAAGCACTATGCGATACCAAAAGTTCATAGCCGTGGTGGTTCATACGCTGGTGGCATGAAATAGAAGAGAGATGAGGAGCAGCAGCTGCTTGCGATCTTGCTGTAGCATCCTTTTAACAAATGAACTGGCACTTTTTAAAACTTTTGCTCTGACTTATTGTGAATCCAGATATAACTTTAGAGCTTGTGCCTCTTCAGGTTCGAACATTATTTGTTTCTGACCAATGTTTTAGTTTCTATTCAGACGAGAGAGAAAAAAACTCAAAATAAAAGCATGATAAATATTCCTTTTATAAACTTTGCAGTTATTGTGAAACAAACGGAAACAATATCCATGAACCGTCTCCTTAATCTCAGTCTGACTGTCTCTTTCTCAGAGAAAAACTAAATTTCAAACATTTATTTACAGACTTTGTGATGACGGTGCACCGACTGTGATGCATGCTTTGGAATCCCATCCCAGAAAAACACATCACCTCTCCATCCCCCTGCCTCCGTCACACTGTATTACTTCCATTTTCCCATCACTTCTGCAGCTCACACTCTGTCCGCCCTCATTTCCTCCTCCTCTCCCTCCAACCATGATCAAAGTTTCACATCCCTTCCCTTTCCTTTTTCACCCCCGTCCCCCTCTCATGTCCCACTCCCCCACTCGACATATTGTCTGACACACTCGCAACGGAGACCTCAGCTAAACCCTGCTGCACACACACACACACACACACATACACATGCACACACTTGCAAACAGAAGAACAGTCCCCCCCTCTCCTCTCCCCTCCTCCATGATGGACCGGGATTGGCTCCCACTGTCACAGTGTGTGATTGCAACCTCCGTTTGACCTGCCCAGGATATATGGCGTCCCCGGGTTATCTACATAATGCACAGGGAGAGAGGTGGAGGAAGCCATCTGAAAACAAGAGGGTGAGGAGGGGTGAGATGGACAGGAGGAGAGAGATTGAGAAAGAAAAAGAGAGAGAGAGAGGGATGGAAGGCTGGAAAAGATATTGCTGTAAACAGATTTGGATTAAATAGACAATAGTGTTGGCTAAATGTTCCTTTTTAATGAGCACTGGGAAAGGCTAACCTTACAGGAGTGGATGTGAGTGTGAGAGACAGAGAGAGAAACAGCAGGCTTGTTTTTACAGGAACACTTAGGCAGGAGTCCCAAGACAGTCTTAGGCATGGTTCATGTGTGTTCCAGTGTGAGAAGTGAACTAACCATGTCTGCACAAAGTTTGAACCAAAGTTACCCAGTTGAAGACACAGTGGTTACCATGGTTGCTTCTTCTTCTTTCTGGTTTTTGGAAGATTTGCAAACTATGTGCATTCAACGACATACTGAGTCCATGCAGTGATGTATTAGTGTGAAAGCAGGAAAATATCTTGCCCAACACACTCTGATTTTAAAAAGTGTAGTCCATGTATTATGTATTCATAACGGCCTCTGCAAAATCCAAAATCACATAAATTTACTTTTTTGAAGTAAAAGCAAAGGAATTATCATTTACTAAAAAATGAGATGAGATCTCTGAATATGCAGTTAAAATTAAAAACTGATTTAGTGTCAGTGAGTCTCAGTTCTCATCCAGTGGTCCATGTACCAAATCTCACTTCTAAGTGAGTCAAAGATATTAGGGTTAATTCAAAGTCTGATTAATTGCAGGTCGGTTGCAGATGTTTTTGAGATTGGCAAAAAGCTATAAGAATGATCTGTGTGTCTTCTCATCAAGAGAGTCTTGGTGCACTTTTACTTACACTACACCCCACTGAGCAGTTTTTGGTCTAAAAGAGGTCTAATAGACCTCTAAATGTAGCCTAGACAACTGGTCTAAAATCAGGCTACCACAGGTCTAAAAATGAAAGTTTTTTAGACGTCTAAATTTAGACCAAGTTTAGACTAAGTCTGAAACTGGGCTATATCTATACTACACTTTATATTGCTCTATTGATATAAATGCAACATCTAAATTCCGTCTAAAAATAAACAGAATCTAGACGGTTGAAATTAAGTCTAAAAACAAGATGTCTAACAGCGATATTGCTCAGTGGGATAGTGCTGTGACTTCACTAAAAAAAAAGATCTGGATCTGGATCAGCAGGGAAATAATGTCAGTAAACAACAATAGGTTTTTATACATCCAAAAGTTTGGACCTGGATTCTTTAGTGAGTCAGTCAGTAGCAACTTGAGGCTTGACTCAGTGTTTCGGTCAGTAACTTGATTACGACACTAGCACCACCATACAGAATATTACAATCCAGATGACGTTAAGTTATCTCTTTGATTTGAACAGGACATAATGTAGGTCACAGTGTCAAGTCTCAGTCACGAGACAGCAGTCCAAGTTTTGTCCTCATTACCTGTACCCACATGAAATTTGAATCCTCATTACCTGTTTTCAAGACCTCATTTGTAAAAAAAAATTTCACCTCAAAGCCCTGAATATTTTTGGTCTCAGTAAAATTTTTAGCTCTTTCTTTTTGTCCTGAAGAGGTTTCTTTAAACCAGACCCATGACCCTCTGAACCCTGAGTTAGAGAGAGCAGCAGTATGCAGTTGTGTGCTGAGTCTTTTAACACTAACTGAAAGCCTCAGGTCATTGATCATCTTCAAACAGTGCACCATGATGCATAATCCCTCCTCATAATACGCTCTTTATAATCATCATGACGACTGGCAGCCCCCACCCCACCACACAAATAAAACAGACGAGGAGAACAGATAAAAACAGGGCCGTTTAAGAAGTGGCCCATTATGACACGTTCCCTCTCCCTTTATTTTTTTATGATAGCAAACGATCAATTATCCAGATGGCAAGCGATGGCATTGTTGTCCACAAACACACACTCACACACATATTTACACATTTCTGTGGACACACAATGATACACAAATTTAAAAGCAGAAATTACACCCTGTGACTCGTGCACACAGACACACACAGTCATAAACATCTGTTGTGTGGTACGCCGTGGTTTCCCGCCATGCTGCCTATAGCTGCAGCAGCAAGTGCACAGATGAGGCCTACAGCTGCTCGATGGTTCCCAGAGAGAGTATAGCACTGCTGTGATGGATAAGGTGGGACTCTTCTAATTGACAGTTTGTGGGGAAACAGATGGTTTATTTGCTGGCATTTATCACGTCTTTATGACCAACAGAAGAGAGCGTCACAGAGAAAGAGAAAGAGAGGCCTTCTTTAAGCTTTTACAAGTTTCATAGATTATAATGTACAGCTCAGGTGCAGAGAGGCAGATGTGTATCCAAACATTGTTTCTGGATGTTTTGGGTTTTATTTCTGCTGGCCTCTTCACAGTCTGCAATTTATTATGAGAATCATCTCGTGAAAGGACAAGTTCAGGTTTTTAGATGTGGGTCCTACTAAGGGTTGCAAAATTTCAGGAATTTTCAAAGTTGGAAACATGGGAATTAACAGGAATAAAACTGAAATTTACAAAATGTAAGGTTGGCCCTCAACAGGGAACTTAAATATAGATGGAGAAAATATATTGTAGCATGATCTTGGCTAAAACAACCAGATTTAATGCAAGTACACTCCTCAAGCACATGCACACAGCACACTGCGTAATGCAGGGCTATTGAGGCCACACCCCCTACATGCACTGTGCATTCCTCCATCACACGCACCGATGATTTCTTGAACCCTGGAGGTCACACTTTTGAGCCCAAAGCACAAGACAGTTGAGTTCACGGACTATATAAAGTCAAATAAGTTTTGATAATATTATGGGGTGAATATATTTGATCTATAATAGTATCAATATTTAACTTGCAAAAATCAAATAAAAAAATAGGTGCTATATGTAAACTACTTTTCATTTCATTGACCATTTAAGGGGCTGGCTTATTATGGTGGTGGCAGCTACCTCAAATGTGATGTTGTTTCTTCTGACTCCTGCGAGACAGTTTTCTGAAACCATACAATAATTTTTACTTCTATTGTCAAATAATTTGAAGACCATTCCATTTCATTATGTTTGGATATGATACAGTGTGTTCAAATTACCCCCAATTTCAAGTCAATTACAATGAATTTCCAATAGTTTCCATAAATTCCCAGTTTCTAATTTGGAATATTTCTAAAACTTAACTTAACTTCCCATGGAAAGTTCCTGGAAATTTACTGAACATTTTTTGAATATTTTCCACCCCTTTGCAACCCAAGTCCTGCTTCTACATGATATGGGGTCTAAATAAAATAGATACAAAAAGGTTGCTTTAGTCATTGAACAGTAGTGTCTGAAACTCATACTTGATAAGTCTCTCAGCCTTTGACAATAGAGATGCTTTAAATGTGGACTCACTTTTGGGTGTGTATTAAGAAATTAAAATGTCTTGTTTTAAAAAATGATAATTAATGCATTAACTATGAACATGCCGGGTGTTCACAGTTGTAACCATCAACTCAGTTTGAGCTCAACAGTAAGGTGTTTTATTTTGTTCCATATTTTCCATTTACATTATAAACATCATTAGATGTGCATGAGTCAGAGAATATGTGCCTCTTAAAGCACCTGAAGACCTACACATGTGTGTTAGACAGAGTATCTGTATGTATGGTTATATCTTTACCTCCTGCAGTTTTCATCATGGCAGTGACCATTTTATTAAATGGAGGTCATAGCGGGGCCATCTCTAACCTGCCTCATCCAAAATGCATCATTTTCCAACAAATGACACACACATGATGTTTCAGCGGCAGAACAAGCCTGCCGGACTCCAGCAGCACAGCTTCTGCATAGTTTTAGTGATGAGGGAAAGAAAGACCAACAAATGCACAGTTAGAAAATTACACCCTACACCCCGACATGGTGTGAAAACTTAGCTGGCATCAAGTCAGAGTACTGGAGAAATAACAATAATAATTTCCATCTGTTTACATAAAGTACATGCATAGATATTTTGTGAACAGTGCAACTCTCCATGGAAGCCTACATTCTTTACTTACTCTAACTTAAAAATAAGATTTTTTTTAAGACGTTTGTCATGAGGAAACCTTTCAGTCATGTCAGAAACTTGGGAGTAAACCTCAACGTTTCAAATGATAATCATGAAGTTGACAACAGTAGTTTCATCGAAGACCGTCATATTTTAATGGAAGTGATGCAACACATCCGATTTGGACAGATCCGATCAGTACTAAGTCAAATGAAGTTAAAGTGTTGTGGACAGACACCCTATATGGGTTATAGGTTTACTTGCTAACCAGGAGCTATTTAGGGCACCTGTGATGTTCTCCTCAGCTGATCAGCTGAGACCGGGAGGCTACACTGGAAGGCTGAACTTCCCTGTTCAGTTGACTCTTTGCTCCTCAGAGGTTTAGCACCATCATTGGCTTTCTTCAGTTTCTGTTGAATATCTTAAACCTGGAACAAACTGTAAGATTATCTTAACTGATTTGAAAATGTCAGAGACCATACACATGACAACAAATAATGACAGATTCAGATTGTTCCTCCTGTAGCAAATTATTTTCCCCTCATCATTTTGGTATCATAGCCATGTATCAATGTGCGTTTCTTTGATTCCAGTGTCCGCCTAGTTTGTGCATCAAGTATAATATAATTTCCATTGTAACCAAGACAGCAATGGAAGTCAAGAAAGCAAACTGCATGCCACAAGATAATCCAACAAAATAATCGTCAAAACCATCTGATTACCAGGACTTTGCTGACTTTTCTCGGAAGGTAATAATCCGGCCGAACTCAGAGTGATCTTGCAGTGTGTGCCCTACTTTAGTTTGGGCTGCAAAAGATTTC